TCTTCAGGCCAGAAAAATAATTGTTCCTTGATCTTTTCCCTCGCTATATTTCCCTGTATGTTGGCAGTGTATTGATTAGCACTACAAAAGAAACCAGCTTTTTTGATAGACGCATAGACTGGTCAAGGATAACCGAAGATAATAATGCCTATATGCCGCATTGTGTACCGATACATAACTATACTACTTGAGGATTATCAACATCTAATAGAGAAAACAGCAATCTGGACTGCTGTGCATGCGTAGTAGTTATTTCGCGCCTGTATGTGACTCCTCACCTTTCGAACGCTTCCATCATCGGAAGGCGGTGGCGGACCACTATGGTTTTTACGTTTGCAACCGCAGGGGGCGACAGCAGAACTACAGCGATGCCCCCAATGCTGTCACGATCGGCTAGTAAAGGTATTATTTCTATTTCTGATTGTTCCTTTTTAATCTCGTCGTCCCTTCCTCTCTGCCGACTCTTCCTAGCTAGTTTCTTTCAAAGCTGAACTGAACATGTCCTAAAAAAACTATCGCCACTGGCAAGCCTCGGTGTTCCAGGCGCGAGTTTTAACTACTTTTTACCAGATCTCTGTGAAGTGCAACGAACAAAACTTTGTAGAGACATCTCAAAGAAAATGTATAGATGTTTGCACACGCACACCACAGATACAGCTGTTAGGTCAACACCAATGCCGGAGCTTGCGCGCAGGCAATGCGGTACAGCGAAATACATAATGGTATAGTAAACGGAAGAGAGCAACGGACGGCTCTTCAAAGAGAAAAAACGCGCAGCGGTTGAAGGCAATGCCCGTTGGCGTAATGGTAATGATTATACTTATAGAAGAAATTGCGCTAAAATTGGTCGAGCCTAAGCATATTATCCGAAAATGGCGTGACTGGCTGTGGAGAGCTTGCTGACTATGCATATGGAAGCCGCAACACTTGCTGCCACTGGTGGGGGACAATTCTAGCAATTTATTGTTTACCTCTAGCAGCAGTAGGAGTAGTAGTCGCGGCCGATTTAATATAAGCTAGCTGAGGTTTTGTGAAGCTTGCTTAGCGATTGAATCGGCCGCCGACTAACCCGGCACAGAATAACTGTAGGCCCTGCCTACCTGCTTTCTTGCTGGCCTGTCGCTCAGTTAAGCAGCGAATCAATTCGGTGTTTCTTCAGGGAGCTCGATAGTTGTGATGCCGACGAAGCCTCTCGACGCGCCGTCAAAGCCTTCAAACTTGGTGGCAGCGGCTGCTGTTACGTAGAAGGATCGACAGCCATCGTCGTAGTCAGTACAATCCAGCGGGAGCTGGAAAGCAACTGAAAGAAATGCAAGGAGGTATCAAGTCAAGGTATCGAGGTAATAGCAACGGCAGGAACAACATCAACGAAGTATCGGTCCTCTTTCTCCGCCCGCTCGCTCGCTCGCTTACCGGTCTATTTATGCACCCCCTTCTTTGGCCAAATCTGTTTGTTGAATACATCGTTGACTTCAGACCTACACGTCAGGACCAACGCAGACAGCAATAGCTTCTTGATACGACCGGCGCGCGATAGTCGTGTCTACCAGTATACGAGCGGTACAATGTGATCGTAGTATCGGTAGTAATTATAGTAATGCTAGTGGTCGTCTTTATACAACTGCTAGAAAAAACAGCATTTGACTGGTAAAAGGTAATGGCACATAGAAAGGCTGCAGGCGAAAAATAAAAAAAAAAAAAAAAAAAATTGTCAAAGGAAACAATGACTAGATAGTGAGTCGTGCCTCGTTTGCTTATGCATTGGTCAACTTTAACGCATAGCGTTAATGTTAACGAACACACACACATATATTCGACTGCTGCTACTACTTGGGAGGTCTTTGTAACGCTTCATTTCGGTCTCGTCTATTTTGAACCCGTATATTCGTTCGTGTGTTTACAGCAAGCAAAGCATTTATATGATATTTGTGATTATAGTTATTTGTTATTATTATTGTTATCGAGTTGGGCTGCTCGTCATGGATCCGTTGACTTCAGTTGACGCACGTACTTTCCACGATAATAATGACGATGACCACAATTATGATGATAACATTGCGGTGGCGTTCGTAGTATTTGTTGTCCTCGTCGTTGTTAAAGTATCTATATGAGACTCTCAGCAGAAATGAAGACCTAAATGTCTTCCCTGGTCGAGAAAACATCCTTGGTTCGATATCAGGCAAAACTGAAGAAACGAATTTGTTAGATCGGAGATTACAGATTAACGGGAGTTGGCTGGTATTTTTTCTCAATGTAACGTCTCTGTTCGCACATATCGACTATAAGAGCTGCGATGAATTTTAAGGGTGCACACATACGTACGTCAATCTTCCATCTACGGTCGGTCTAGACAATTAAAGCTATTGATCTGATAAAACTATTTATTATGATTACATCATTGCAAACACCGAAACTCGTTCATCATTACCACAACTACCCGCTACTGAACGAGAAAGAGATCGGTTAAGCTTCCCTAAGCCGTTGCGACAGATCCAATCCCCTTAGATCATGGATCGTCGATTTAAGGAAATGGTTTACGTTGCTGTTTCGTTTCGTGTACATCTTGACGGCGCGGCGATTCGAACTAGCGACTGGACTTCAGCGCGCTTGTTGGCCAGGAAGGGAGACCGGCCCTCTTAGGTACTGTGGCTACCAATATATATAGTCTAGCTATGGGTCTAGGACTATATGAAGATCTGCGGCATACGTTACTCACACACAAGCATGCTGTGGCAGGGATTTTTCGCATCAGTCTGAGAGAGTATCATTTTAGTGTCTCGTATTATCGGTCAGATAGCTTTGGGCACATTAAATGTGTTGAGCCCGACACACGTCCTGGGTGTGTAGCCATACCCTCGCCGGCCAAAAGAGTACTGTTGTTTTTACCGCTTCAGCGCGTGCTCTAACAGGAACAATTGTTACGCAGCGCCGAATATATCACTAACGTCAATATAGAGGGTTATACTGTTGAGCTGTATCTGTTACGTCTGGTGGCTGTGGCTAAGTCTAAAGATGTTCACCCATGTCGACTCTGCAAATGTCTAGCCTCGGGAAAACGCAAACCTTCGTATTCATGGAGCTGACCGCACCAAAGCGGCCGGGCCTTTTTATCCTTAGCTAAGGCAACAACAGGCGTTGCTCAAGCTAAAATTAACGAATATAACAAACATCGAGCAGCTTCTGTTTCAGTCTGAATAAGCTTAATAACAAAAAACATTCTCAAGATAGCCTGTTTATCAACATCCGGTACCAACAGCTATGCGTAAAAGTTTGTGCGCTATTTTTATGTTTCGTTGACCCATCTTGTTTTCATTCTGCTCATTTCAACCAATAACAAAGTAATCCTTCAGCAAAGACTATGTCGGATTAATATGTCATCTATGAAAATAATTAACCACTCTCGATACGTAAAAAGCAAAACATTATGTTCCATAATATCAACGTGTAGAAGATTCGTATTCTACAAAGCTCTTCTTCATGTAAGCAACACCCCCTCTATGTGCATATATACAACACGAAATAACTCCATAATGGCGTCCATGAATGTTTTTACTGCACTATATTGTGTTCATAGCGGTGGTTATTAACAGAACCTACAGGGAATAAATATGGCCAAATTTCAGACGGATAATTTATTCGGATGTAAGCGATCCTCGTCCGAAATCGGACAACATACATACTAGCTAGTTTTAGTCTGAATCTTGAGGTAACGGATTGAGGCTAAATAGAGAGAGCGATATTGGAACGATGGGGGATTCTGGTGGATTGGTTACCATGGTACGGGACGAAGCGAAATTTTGGAATTGGGAGATATCAGAAAACACATGGAATAAGCGTAAAGTGAGGTAACACAGGGAAGAATACTGGATATTTATGTAAAGCATCTTGCAGGATTTGAGGATATTTTTATTTCACAGCTAGAGCTAGCCCCCCACACGACACGAGCTGACATTGGGGGGCCCGTGAAAGAGCTACGGATATCGTCTCAATGGCGGCCAACAGAGTCGCCTCGTTTGCTTCTGTTGATTTGAACTTAATTGTTTATTAGCGAAAATACACAATAAAACAGACAATAGGCAAACGACGAATTACAGTATTCAAATTTCAGACTCAACCTAATGAATGATGACCCTGATACGTTGCCGACACCGTACGTATTTCAAGAAACGATTAAATAAGAGTAACGATTAAGGCTAGCTCCCGCCTTAGAACGTAAACTTTTGAACATCTGTTAACAAGGTAACGCTGCTTACCTTTGTTTAAGCTGAGAATTTTCAGTGGTGGCACATTTTACCAGCTCTAGTCAGAAAATGTGATGCCGAGGAGTTATTCACACAAAAAGCGTAACTGAAACTGCTAAAACATTGAAAGCAGCGTTATCAGCTGATGCTTAAACGCGTGTTCATTTTTCTGCAAAGGCCACCTCCCACGCTGACATGATCCAAGGTTTCGTACATCGATAAAGTCCGAGCTAATTGATAGCATTGATCTGATTGAGCGTTCAATTCAATGCCACTGAAATCGCTGAGCTGACATCAGCGAACGTTGCCGTTAGCCTTGTCTTCTCTTATAGAAGTAGTGAAAAGTTTTATGTAAATATTTACCTCATTTCGTCTGCTAGTGATGCTAACTTTAAAAGTTGGTCAAATATTTCGACCCGCAAGACAGTTCAGAACATTTGGACGAAAATTGTATTGTAGAAGTAAGTAGCTCCGAGTTTAATTTTGGCCAGGAGTACCCACGTCGGCCATTTCAACGGATTCGGATCGATTCAATGTCAGAGCCTCGTGAAATTGATCACATTTTGCTTACCATATATATTCTGTCTATATGGAGGTTTATTGCACAGTGTATTACAAAGTCCTATTGGCGTGTATACCCTAGAATATTGTTAACCCTGTCCTCTGTGAAGCCACACGAAAGTCTGCAAAAATACAGTGACTATATATATATATATTTTTTTTGATAATTAGCGTTTACACCCGGTCGACTCTTTTACACACAATTGGGCATATGAAGGTTTAATATTATACTCGTCCGTCCGGTGCATGTATGCAAAAGCACAGACCCTGACAGAGCAAGTTCGAGTTTTCAAAATGGTCAGGGTACCGACCAAAATCGCAGGTCTGTTTTTTCGGCCGGGGTACAGTCATTATATTTTGTCTCCTCTCCCTGCCCCAACTGTTAGCGCACTATGAGCTGGTCCTTTGTTGCCATCAAAGCAGACGCGGTTGATGGTACGCCGCGTGTCAGTGGAAACGTTAGTTGACAAGTGGCAGTGTATCACAATGCATCAGCAGAAACATGATTGCCTGAAAGAAAAGAACGATGAATCAGAAGTTGTTGAGGCTACTGTTGCGTTCCTACGCCTGGTACATGTCTTCGATGTAGAGAATGCATTATCGCCTAGGGACGATCCTATACGAGAGAACGCTGTGTTCACCCCTTGATGAAGGTTATCACACGGTGTTCCGCAGTACCCAAATAGGATCAGTGCTCTTAAACAACTAAAGGCAAAGATTGGTAGATCCTCAGAGAGATTTAAGACATATATGGAAATTCGTGAACCTAACGTGAGTTGGCTCCTGCAAACGTAATCCCCGACCCTGCAAATGTCGTTAGTAGCTTTATCGACTGAAATACGGTTTTAAATGTGGCACAAATGTTCCGTTTGAGATATCCACATTTGCTCAAGTTAATGCTGTATCAGTCTCCTAGATATCGGTGATATAACTGAACTAGTAATACTTATGCATCTGTAGTAATTTTGTTCTACAAAAAGGCAGCATAACACTGCACGCGTGTTTCGGGGCACGTGATACATAACTTCGAAACAGAAAAAGATGGCAACTCACTCTCGCTCATGCTTTGGACTTGACACATGTCGGGTACGTCATAAAATCCATATTGCAGAAATATGTATCTTTCTTCAAGTGCTACCCAATATCACTGTTGGCCTACCTAAACGTAACACCTGATTCATACTAGAATTGTTAACCTAACCGACGTACCAATGCATAGTAACAACTTTGATGCAGGGTCTGAGCGGAGTTAGGGTATTTCCGTTGTACTGAATACGCTTCTTTCCCGTCGAATAACTTCTCTCGGTCGTCTCTGTCCACGTCGCATTGAGAAGCATTTGTATAAATGCGTTAATGAGGTGACGCTTGGCCTTTGCACACCATAACCATAGACTTGTTGTCGAATATAGACGTACACCTCGAGACCGACGGGCAGTCAAATAATCACAAGTTAATTAAAGAACAATTCTATGGATGACAGAGAGATAAATAGGCTGTGGGGCGTATGCATATCCTTGGCTGTTTAGAGGTGAATTGATAAACGTACGCAAACTAACGCAGCTAAACGTTACGGTGCATTGAAGTGCTGATGTGCCGCTATGTTATACGCATTCTGGGAGCATCTCTGTGCTAACATATATGTATTCAATCTATTGACGGGCCCAGAAATACGACGATCAGTCCTTAACCCACTTTCGCGCTTTACCGAATTCTCGGATGTATTTCTGATATTTCGAGTTTAGTCTAAACTTTGTTGAAATCGTAAACTGTGAATGGGAAAGATAGGACTAAAACCTGACGACGAAAAATCCTGTCTCGACAGACAAGCGCGCACCTGAAGTAATCGTATTTTTCTATATAAATTCTCACTTGTGTAGCAACAGGAAATACAATTGGAATTATTTAGCATTGTACTCTGCTCATCGTACACGAGTTCGGACATCTGCGACAACGCGTATTCTCTTATTCATTTATTTAATATAGCCTAAGTGCCGGCATTAGAAATCAGACTGAGTCGCAACAAGGTGTGAGGTAAATGAAGAGGTGAGGGAGTTAGCGACTCATAGAACGAAAAGTATGCTGAGGCAACGATGGAACTTCGTTGCAGTGGCAACTATTGCAGCAATACTCATCACAACCGTGACCAGTATTACTGTAATACCTCTTTCTTATAAACAGTACAGTTGAATCCTTCGATTATGTATCGCACACTGCCGCGTACCCCAAGCCATTGAATAGCACCTCTGTACCCCCAACAGAAAAGAATGTGATAAAAGCGGGGAGGGGAGGAGAGGGGATAGGAAGGGTCGTATAGGAGATTCAATAGGATGCGTCTATCGATCTCAACAAACCGTCCGAGAATACCTATTTTGCAGAATCAAACAGCAAGATCGGCCTAGGTGAACAAGCTGCAAACTCCCCTGGCTAAAAGAATTATCGCCGCATATTTGTCGCGTTATTCTACGCTCGCCCCATGCGAGTCTCTAAGCTGAGCTCGCTTGGTTACTATATAATGAATAGGATATGGGGTAAAATATATCCTTCCGTAGGACGTGAACATGTGCGTGACCGAACTGGAGCCATGTCAGACTTTTTGATGCTGGTTGGCCTTGCAACAGCGAGCTAGGTGTTCTTATATGATTGCAATAAATTGAGACTAGATGGTTGAAGAACGCTGTTGTATGTGACAAAATACAATGGAACCTCTGCTAAGATTTGAAAGACGTTTGTTGACGGCGCGCTGGTACAACGCTGTACCAGCGAATCATTGTGATCACGAGAAACGAAGACAAAGAAAGACATGCGGAGGGGGCACTCTGCCGCCACGGTAGTAGGGGAAGTTACTGGCTTTTCGCAGCAGCCTATTCATAATGTTACGTTGAGGCTTATGTTGAGCACACACAATGCTGAGAGGTTCGCAAGCAGTTACTCCCGGTCGGTAGGCAAATTAGTTAAGCTTCTAGAGCAGGTACTTACGCAATGGAGAAAAGCTTTACTATAAATATTATTTCAAGACTATGTGCTTCGGCCAGGTATTCCACGATCCTTGTCTTTAGACTGCTCGTCCAACCCGAAGATAGTTCAGGTCGGTCCACAGCCAAGTCTCGGATGCGTATTAGACCCTACAGAATACAGGTAATTTTGTTATTTTTATAGCCAGTGGTCGATCGCTTGCAGACGATACATCGGCCGCCTAAAGAGAAACAAACTGTGGGTAAAAGCAGACACGGACCTAACCATCTAAGAATCCGCCCCGTGTCAGGAAGTACGGGAATAGTTTCCATAGTATAATAGTTGACTGGCCATTGATATGGACATAGTAAAATTCCATAAATATAATTCAGTGGAGATCGTTTGTACTGAAGAACCACAGACCTGTGAGCCTGTTGTTAACTCCGAACATAACTACTATCCAACGAGACAATGTGACATTCGCCCATGCTAACGTATACAAAAAACAGCCCATTTATAATGTACTGTGTGAAACGCTGGCTTGAACATCTCTCCACCTCCAAATGGAGAGCCATCGTTACGTCCCGTCCTGTACAAGACGAGAGTAGAGCAGCAGTAACAGAACTAAACTGAAAGCGATGATGTAGCGAGACGTTTCTGTAAATTTTGATTATACCAGGAACTAAATCGAAATATCCGATGTCTTTCGAGTGCAGCCCTTTGAGAAAATATTTTCCCCTTCTTCTTAAAGTTTTTTTTAATCATGTGATTCATCTATCACGAGCGACGCCACAAGTCCTTTTTAAGCTGTACTACTACAATGAGAATTTACCCTACAGTTGAAACTGATCTGAGCAATTTCTGTAGTCTAACGGCGACGTTTTGCCTCTGAAGTGAGCTGTCTACTGAATACGTGGTGCTCAACCAACATAGATAATGCAGATATAAATGTTCTCACGCGATGCTTGAGATCTAATAGGAGCGTCTGTGACGATTTTCGATCTTATCTTTTTCAGCTCCGGATTTCTTTCAGTTTCAATTGCTGTGCTCCACGATACAGAATAGTTTAAGTGAAGATATGTCGTTCTATAAGGTGAAGAAAATGTTAAGACTAGCGCTAAAAGTCGCCTGGATAAGCGCCGCTTGAATGCTTACTTGGCTTTGTTATGTCACGCCTTACCTAAGCACAATGAGATATAGTCAAGCAATAGCATTACATTACGCTATGGCCAGGTCTGTATGGTACTCTACCCGCGCGCATATTTGAAGATTGAAATTTGAATCGTGTTTACGCTACGAAGTCGCCGAACGGGTGGGAAAGCCTCGTTATAGTAACTGCGGTCGAATGCGATCCTACTGTAACAGTCGTTTTGTGAATGAGGACTAGCTTTACTAAACTGCTAATGATCACCTCTCTAGAAAATGAAACAGGTTAGAAGTAAAGAGCTCGCCAAGTAGTGAATACACACCACTGTTCTCTCTCTAGTCCGATAGTCTGGGAATTTATAGTCTTACCGTACCATAATGTATCCGCGTCTATTTCTAAATGGCCGAACGTTTCGCGCCTACTCGCCCCTTGTTGTGGGCACGTAGAGTGATACTATTCAGAAGAGACAGCTTATGGCAACCCAATGATTAACGGTGAAACTATACTGAACTCAGACTTACTCGAGTGCCTCAGAGTATTCAGCTGCACCGTGATATCCCTATGCATATGCACGTAGATACGTGATAACGTAAAGGGCATAGAAAATTAACTAATGCCTTTTACCGAAATATATATATATCATTGTAGTAATATTTCCAGCAGGAAATTAACAATGTCACTTAAATAATCAAAAGGGAAGATTCTGATCACACCCCTGTAAGAACGATGTCTCTGATCATATGAAAAAATGCATTCAATAAGATCAGTCGAACAATTAACGTTCGCCTGCAATGATGTATATTCTTTACAAAATAACTTAAGCAACAGAAACAAAATGATTCAAAGTGCGTTAGCCTTATCGTTATCTCTAGCGAACGAAATGCTGGTCATTTTAAATCAGTAAGTTTGACGAACTATGAAACATACCCGCCTTCGAACGAATACTGATTTGGTACTTCGGACTTCTACTGCCTTCCCTCGTCGTTGGCACAATCTCGTAGAAACTGTATTGCACACACATCAACAGTTTTCATCTCTTCTTTATCTCCGAGTAGAGCCTTAATCATCAGTGGTCAACGTAAATTGTATGTATATAATGGCAGTTGTCTGTAAAATTGTTTCACGCGTATCTGCCTATATACGACACATGGCGATGCGACTTGCAATGACCGACGGCACTCAGCGGTCGAATATAGAGGGGAGCGGATACAGGACGTTAGGCTCAAGAAGCCTGAAAGTTGTTTTCGTCTTCATCATCTACTGCTACGATTTGTTCTCCTTTACCTTTTCCTGCCTGTCGCAGTTGCAAACACAGCCGACTTGGTGATGCTCACAAATTCGCAGGCGGCTCTGTATTATTTGCATTCAACTTAGCAAGGGACAACTTATTGTGTCTTCACAGACACGCCTAACATGGCGTGTTACCAGTCGGCTGTTGAGTCTCTGGGCGTCCGCCTGTCGCGTTTGTCGAACGAGATCATGCGGACAACAGGGTGATAGCGTTGCTTAAACGACGCCACCTTATCGTTTTGTTTGTAACTTAACCGGCTGCAGCAGAAGTAACTATAGGGGGTAAATGATAAGAAGAACGAAGGTAGCCCAACTGTTTCAATTTCACATGAAGCATGCAGATCTACATCCTTCCTTCAGTCGTGCAGTCGATTTTGCTCTCTAGATCTTCGTCCGCCATCTTGCAACAGGTAACAGAAGCATTCAGAGCATACGAATAAAAAGTTTTTTAGCGGGCATCTTAGCCCCTCGATACGCAGAGTAAACACTCTACGCATTTAATAGAAAAAATTCATAATTCGAACTAGTCTGTTTGAAGTTTGTTTAGTATCTGGGAGAAACGTTCCACCAACTGATTAAACGTATCGCCCCTTCATTCTATACGGCTACAGGATGACAATAGCTACCAAATAGCGGGCAATATCGAGGTCGATAAAGCAGATTCTACAGTTGGTCGCCTATTGCTTTGACTTTATTTAATCAACGTACGGCAGTATAGATTCAGTGAACAGATGCTTTTCTACGGGACATAGAAGAAAAAACTCCCTAACAACGTTTTTTTCTTTAGCTTGAATTTTTAGACTGATGACCAATAAATCGATTGTTAGTTCGAGCATTCTATAGAGATGTACAACAGTAAAATTGAATTTCTTACACCGATGCTCGAAAGTCAGATACGATCCTACATGATGAAAAAAGTTAGGGTCTCTACATGTACTATAAACTGTATCCGTTTGGTCTTCGCAAAGGTCAGTCGACTATCATAGCCGTCCGGTAAACAGTCCTGTAAGCCAAAAATAATTCCGACGCAGCCCCGATTCACGCTATTAGACTGTATCACTTTAAGTGATGTTAACGGTCGTTGATGGCGATGCTGTACGATACCTAATCTATGGTATTAGACAGGGATCCAAAGTGGCATTTAGTAGTTAGCTTTTGACGAGCTAGTAAGCATATTTTCCAGCAGGACGCTTCGAAATGTCTTTTTAATAAATTTATATTGTAGGGTAGCTCTATTTGTACAGGCGAATGAAACGTTTGAAGCAATACTTGAAAAGGCACTATCCCCGAACGCTCGGGTAATCGGAGTGTTTTTTACGTGAATTTGTTCGATGTCTTCTCTACATAGCTTGAACATTCCTGCTTTGTTGTTGTTCAGTGTGTTACATTGCCTTCGTATTTAGCCTCATTTGGAGCTTGGAAAGCCCGTTTTATTGCCCACGATTCAACAAACAGTCCAGCCTGCTTAGCAGGACGATTTAAGAATCTTCGACATCGGCAACATCGACGGTCGTTATCTTTGCTTTAAGTTACAAATTGCTTTTCTTTATAGTAGCTGATGCTTAAAGTTGTGATATTTATTCTAACTTACTAATTGTAGTGGCTTTAGTTGGTTTTCGTTTGTGGGTGCCTAACCGATCACGCATTTGCAACGGTTGGAATCGTCAATGAATGAAGTAGTTTGTCTGCCGTTCATCGGCTTCTCTTTTTGCTAACTTGTATCTATTTATCTATCCGTTTGTGTGCAGGGGTAGAATGCCAGCTTTGTTAGCTATCGGTGGCATGTGTAAGCTATATATCGTGGGTGGGCAAGCATTCGCTTTAACCACTGCCACCGATGTTTGACTGATGGTCGGCCCTCTATTAGGTGTTATGTCGGATACCGCAGCGACGGTGGCTACAAGTCGAATAGAGATCGTTACGGGGATGTCTTTGGTTCGGCTAGTGTAGTGCTCGTACTCTAAACGTTACCAAACAAAACAAGCGACACAGGACAGGGCAAAGCAGCGTCTTGGTCAATAGTAAAGACTATGTTTGTCATGCCAAGCGCGCGCCTCAACTTTTGCCTCTACTATGTGCCTGATTAAACGGATACTACAACTAACCTTAGTCACATATACGTCTAGCTAGACAATCAATATGGCGACCTCTGAGAGCAGCAAACTAAAGACGCTGACAAAAGTAGGGCTACAGCTTTAACCGTTGTTGTTAATGAAAAGTGTCACGACGTCGTATCAAACAGAGTTCACCTATCAAATAAAATCTAGCTAAGTAAAACTTATGTCGGAGAGCCGTTGAGCGCTACCGCTGCCACGGCCGTTTCCAGTTGCCGCTGAACGTGGAAAGCTGCTTGTTAGTCCGAACAAAGCTCAGATCGCAGATACTAATCATACGCAGAAAGGCATGACACCTGAGAATGGGTATTAGACCCTTAGCTTCTGCAGCCAAGCGTTTCAGGCGTCATTTTCATAAGTTATGTTTGCTGGTGAACACGACGTGGCACGTTTTTGCGCGTTGCGTCTGCTATTTAAGCCGCTAGGTATAACTTCAGACGGCTGGCTGCCGGCATGAGACAGAGCATATCTACGCCCGGATTGGAACCTATATTGTTACGTGTCCCTAAGTTCACTAGGCAAGCACGTTACCGACTGGGATATCAGGGGGCTAGGTAAATTCTGACCTAATAGGGGCACACCGATTAATAAAGCGAATGAACTCCGACGGAAACAACGTAGTACCTGCTGGGAAAATAGGTTTTTAGTTATTCTGTTAGCTTCCGCCTGACGTGATCTCTACAGCCCTTGAACCCAGTCCTGAACAGTTGTTGTGATAGTAATAACATCAGTCGCAGGCCATTTATGAGTTTTTGAGCCTTGCCACTGTATAGTCCGCCACAAATAATAACATGACTTCACGTTGTCTTTGTTAGGTCTGACAGTTGATATAATTAAGCATGACGGCAACTTGGCCATCTGCTAGCCATTCCGAGGACCCATTTTCCTCCTATATAATTTACTAGTCCTCGATGTATGTATGACCATTCTAGGCTTAGGCTAGGCGCATATCATTGCAGATTACACCCGAAAAAAGCAAGCCCATTGACGATTGCTGCTGGTAAACCCGGAAGCAGCACGACCTGCAGCCACTTGCTGGTGACGAGCTGGTGCCATTGGCTGTTCGTTTATTGTCACTTCTTTAACGTGCTCACCACCCCTACTCATTATCCGGCGTTTTGAAGCCAATGGTAATTAATACCATCGTTCTGGCGACGCGCAACCCAGTGAGTGCCCTAAGTAGCGGTTAACACTATAACCCTGTCAACCCTTGAAACAGAGTTGCACGATTGGCGTTATTGTCGTCCATTCGCGGTCACCCAAGTTTTAAGGGCCATATTATTTTACAATGATGTACATTGGTTTATCAGCAACGATTTGTCAACAGCTTGGCACTATTGCTCACTTTCGTACTGACCAGTCTGCAGGCCTGGCACCCCATCAAACCGCCGAAGATACGAGAATAATAATAATATCTGTCCCAGTCGTTACGTTGCTGATCCCCTAGCACCGCTGAACTGTATCGTAGCCATAATGCAGGCTACAGGTTGTCTGAGCGCACAGAATTGAGCGAATAGAAACTGCTTCACTAACGGTCATCGCCAGACACGGAAAACGGTGGTGGTAATCTTGAAACGTATCTGTTTCTACTGTTGTTCATCGTTCTGGCCTCTCGTCTACAGATTTGGTTGCCGTTCTTCCTTGAACTTAGAGATGTACCTAGCCCGTTTAAACATAGAACCGTAGATGCATGGTGACTTTAACGATGGTTGACGTATTTTTTGAAATGCGCGAAAGCTGGTAACAAACGCCGAGAACAGGTAGGGAACTACGCTCCCCAACCTGATAAATTAAGTAGCGCTGGCAGTCGACCAAATCGGCAACGGTACCTGCAACGATCTCACCAGCGATAGTGGCAAGAAAAAGAGTAACAAAAGCATATCAGAAGGGCTCGCAAATATACCTGAAGGAGTCGATGTGACTTGTTCGATCCAAGCTGCATTCTAGCTTCGAGATATTTTCGTTGTTTAGTTACATCGGTCTGATTGTCCTTGGGTTATGGGTCGACAGTTGTTATAACTCCATCGGAATACACAGCAGTGGCATTGGTGCTGGTATTATTAGTTCAATCTGAAGATAAATGCTGTCTCCTTATGTCGCCGCAAGCGTCGTCGTAGCAAACAAACGGCAGGCAGCGGTGATACAGTAAGTAGCTCGAGATTATCTATATACATATATAATATTTTGGAGAACACTGGAAAAGCGTGCAGTTTAAGGCGTTCTGCGGTGTGGGGTGGAACTGGGTTCATGTTTTCTTCGAGGTCTACACTATAATGCCTATGGCTTGTTCTTGGACACATTTAGTGATACGGTATGTGATACTCAAAAAAAATTATCTTGAGATTTAGCAATGTTAATCGTCTGCAATAGATGCAATCTGGAATGGTCCAGAGCGGCCGACTAGGTTTCCTAGAACGAGTGTTACGGAAACACCTCTGAAGGAAGTGATTTTGCTTGACAAGAACAAATGGAACCTACTTGTAAGATGTCAATTATTGAATATTGTAAGAGAGCTAATTCGCTCAAGAAGCTTGAGTAATGTATAGCTTTTAATCGACTGTGCGACGTCGCGACAACCGATAAAGTTTTCCCTAGAACAGTAAATATCTTACAGTATTGCTCAGATGAGTGAAGCGTTGCTATCTGATTAGCTGAAAAATATGACTGATAACCATCAGTACTTCAGTTTTTTCTGTTAAAATTCTCCGTTTTCGCAGTATCGATGGTGGCTTCATTGTAGCTCTTTATACTCCGCTTTTGGACGCGATTTTAGCGACCTCCAAACATCCAATTAAACGTTCAGATCTGAAATACATTGAAAAAATTTGATACTACTTACGATAGACACCACTGTTACGCAGCCAGCTTATTCTATAATAATAATAATAATAATAATAATAATAATAATAATAAAAAACTGCCTATTAGTACCCTTAAAACTTCACGTTACGTCAAGTAGTAAGTATATCTTTGTTTCTTGAGGTAGTTTTAAACAATTCAAATAGTTATGGAAGTTCAAAGTTGTCTCTATTTGTTCTACTCTTCACGAAAATAAGCATATTCATTATAATCCCACAAGTTGTTACATGTTCATTATATTGGTCAATCAAAATTCAGTGTTCTTTGCCCGGTCTATTAGTTTCTCTATGGCCGCATACGATATATTACGTGAAAACTGGTTATATCTATTTCTATCAGCTCTATGTTCTATCTATCTATACTCAGCGGTCAGACGGATTCATTTCTCACGCCGCTATCATTCACTTCTTTCTATCTTAATTGGCCTTTCGAAACGTTAACTGGGACCTGTCAAGGTCTCATTTTTTTACCTATGTCCATTAGTTTTTGAGAAGCCCTATAACTACCGTTGGTGCCGTAGTATGCATGCATCGGGGTCATGTAAACGAGACCGTGATACGAACGTTAGTTCGTGGGTTAGTATTTTTCTAGCGTAGTTGTTGTTGTTTGGAGGGCGCGCGGACTTTCGTAAGTTCCTATCTGAAATGGGGCCTACTATCGTCCAGGCAGGCTAGCGAATTACCTGAACCGTGTGAGAACACACAAGGTAAACTCAGTCTGATCGCACAAAGTTAGCGTTAACCGTGTTACTGACAACAGACAAGTTCTACTTCGAATATTGATGATACGTTTTCAATTTTGAAACCATCATATTAGAAATAATAGCTATGCCGTCATTGCCACATGGAGAGGTATAGGCGACATTGAGAACATGAAAAGAACTTTTTGCTATATTGTTACTTCTCTATTAAAATTACTGTCGTTTGAAACTAAAGCTCATAGTTGTCGATATGTTTGCCTGTCTCGGATGGATAATCCAACAGTTGCTCTAGCACAGAAACATAGAAACACATAAGTGATGGTGCCATATTAAGCGTTGCATTGTCATGCCACTGCCGCACATATCGCTCACCGCCGCCATTCTACCCCATCATAGCCCCAAGTAATCCGTATGAAAAAACGCAACACTTCCGTCCGATACCGCTATCCAATAAGCAGAAGAAGACATGTAGAAATAGAACCAAAGCTCATATCGAAACGGGCTCCATTTTATCCACGTTTATGTGAACTCAACGCGGACTAACTAAAGTGTGCACCATCATTACAAATCAGAATATGAAACGTTTCCCGTCTCATAACCAGTAATTTGATTGCAACTCTGTCTGGGTACATTTTGCAGCTCAATTGCACGACTTTCCTGCCTTAGCAGCGGTGATTAGAGCAGTATCGGCGCTTTAATTTCTGATAAAATTAGAGTAGCGGCAAGAACAGTTTTATAGAGACCATACTGATTCATGTAGGTTTCTTTGTAAACGGTTAACAACGTCAATATATGGAAAGCAGAGGAAAACCGCCGGGCAAAGATAGCTGGGCTGATTCTATTTCGAAACACCATTGCCTCCAAACGGATATTGTGACATACGTACGCATTTACGGACTAAGGATACTTATCAGTAACAAAATACATCCTAATACACGTGCATAAATGCGGTCGGGCAAACGTCTTCTGAGTGTTTAAAAAAGTCTCTTGACGGTTTAAGGGACTTTGTTCTATATCTGTTGCACGTAGCAAGGGAGTATAAAGTACAATGAAAAGATGTATAAAAAAAAGTGAAGGTGCTTTGTTCGTTCAATGAGATTTTCGCCTCGTACTGCATACGTATCCGCCCTTTCAGAGCACTATGGAAATTGGGCCGAGTCCAAAATCTTTCTCCTTACCTTCCAGAAAGACTTGTAATAGGTATAACTACTAGCATGTGTACTTGATCTAAAAGAGAATAAATAATAAAGTCACAGTATCCACGAGTTGAAGATCCAGTCTATATGTAGGCGTAAGATATGCTTTTGTATGGTCATCTCAAGTACGATTTGGTTTTCTACAGTTGTCGGATGTTACGGCTGTTATTCTAATGAATTCTCAAAGCACCAACCAAGTAGGAAGATCTGGCAAGAAGCCAAATAGGTATTTTCTATCCATCTCATTATCGTATATATACAAAGATAGAAACCCGCGACTCAATCTGGTAGGTAAAGGTCAAGGGTACTGAGCGGTAAATTTGACAAAATTCAGATTCGAGGCTTTCAGTGCACCGGAGCTCTCACCAGATCAGTCCACGTATCGAGGTGTGCAGTTAGCGCCAGTTAGAGTTTTCTATTATACATTGCGCGAAATGTTTGCTACTGTTGCAAACAGGCAGGCCTATTGAGGACCTACAAAGGAGGCATAATTTGAAGGCGGAAGTGCTAATAGAACAAATCGGGATGCATTTTTATTTAAACATACAATTTCTGTTAGCGTTCTATTACTATTCAGCGCTGCTTCTCATCTGGCAACATATTTGCCATTCTTGTATTTATTTTTAAAAATGCCATTGATATATACATATACCCGACTCGAAGTTGATCAAAATGAAGATCTGGAATTGGTCAGATTCTTATCAAATGTTGAATTAAAAAGATCCACTTTGGAGCAGCTGCCGTTTTTCGCCTTGGGAGAAGAACAATTTTAATGTTCTGAGTTGGAAATTAGGAAGAATAGCATCTAAGATGAAACACCCAAGTTATTCGACGTTCTATGCATGTTAATAATACAGCACGGCAAAGTGGCGTACTTGCTGGCTTGGGTGTCCATCTATGGTTCAAGTTTTACGTCTGGTTAGGCATAAGTGTCCTATGACTGGCTGCTTTTGAGACGCTTGGGCTATACCAATTTTATGTATCCTCTAACTTGGTATGTTTTTCTTTGTTACACCGAGAATGAATGCACAAATAAGGTTTTATCATTTGTGTTTGTTTTTATTCGTTATTTTCTGCGGACATGCTCCGCTCGTTTCAGCCCGTGCACTTAACTCGATCTTAAGTGACGCCAATTGTTAACGCTCAGCCCTGCGTTACCGCCATTCGGGGCAGAACAAGCGAAGAAAGACCTCGTTCCTTGAAGCAAGAATATATATTTATATAAGCTGTTGTGAAATAATCGGTCCGGTGCCCGATGGGTAGGTATATGGTTGATCAAGAAATCGATATGGAAGATATAGGGTTAAATAAATGCATCAAATGTGCTCCGAAAAGGACATGCACTGTTAACGAAACATGACAACGCTACGCGATCAGTGGCGTTGATAGAATAATCGTTTCTACTGGCCTACAACTATGTCGTTTACGACTTCCAACATGTTGCATCTATTGTATATGGGAGTGTCCCTTTGATTTGGAATAGAATATGTAGTTACCATGATATTAATGCTTCATATAAGGTAAAACTTACGCAAAAAAACATACGAATCATCGAATTGTTTACTTAATGACAAAATGTGTATAAAAGAGGTCCATGGCTTGTAAAAATTCAAAGAATCATGTACATAATTGACATTTAACATTTAAATATCGGCCGAATGGTCAACATATTTTGACATCTTTCGTCAAAGTATTTCAACATATAATAAAATTTAATTTAAATTTAGAAATTTTTTAAACGCAATATTAATCTAAAGCAACAACGTTTCATTGAGCTAAAAACTAAAATGTTCAGTTGTTTGACACGTGCAGCTCATCAGAAAAACTTTGAAGCCTATTCGTCGTCCTAAAAAAGGTACATAGCCGGAATATATATATTAGCTTGGCCTTTAGAAGCATTATTGCAACAAAACACATGATTATCTTTCTAGGAGAGGCCTTTCTACGGACATGATTCACCTCTACATTCACCGCGTGTTACTAATTCAATGATAAACATTGTCGTTTCGTTTGTGCGAATACGCCTATTTGTTATAAACATAATGTTGTATGTATCTTATATTAAACGAGTATCGCAGATATTCTCTACTGTTTTTTTACTTGAGAAAGCTTGAATTCGGCTCGAGTTCGAGCTTACGAATTTTAATGATGTACTTGTAGAGAATTACGTTATAGGTTTCAAGTTGTTCCTGTTGTGTCAGATTTTGGCGTTCGTGTCATCTCTCTTTGCTGTAAACTGTATCCGAAAAAACGAAAAATTGTTTCAAGACTAGAAAATAATTTTTAAATAATTTCATCCTAACCTGATGTCTGATGGAAACAGGTGCTCGTAATTTCTTCCTGCTTTGCGCGCCGTGAATTGTATCAGGGAGACCTTCACGCTATGTCATCTATATTATTTTACTTATATTAAGCATCTTTTGCGACTGTGGTCAATCATGCTGGGCGAAGGCTCCATGTCTTAGTAACGCACAGTACGAGCGTCAAGCGTTCGACTGTGTGCACCTGCCAAGCCTTAGTATGCATAGTCGCGACCTTGTCCTGCTTTTACCTAAGACACCTACATGTCGTCGATTAACAATGATCTGGTAACGCTGATCCGACGTCTGATGATACAAAATTTCGTTCTGTCTTTGTTGGTAGCAGCTTGATGTTACTTGACCTTTTTTTTGATATGAGATGCCCATATTAACCCAGTTATGAGGATTTCGACGTGAAAAAAGCTGTGAAGAAAATTAATCAGATAAAGCTAAACGCTAGGAACAACAACTAACGAGTGGCCATGTCAGAACTATATGCTTCCTTCACATTAGATAGAATTGGTGTAACGCTAAGTGGGTCGATCGTATGTATGTAGCAGCTATCGCAAAATTAAAATGATGAAATAGCATATTGTCTCTTTTGTCGAGTAAACCACTATTTTATTTCTTTTTGCGCTGTTCCTTGTCATTCTTGTAGGCTCATCGGAGGCGTCCATGTCAGGCTCTAATCGTGGCTCGCCTCGCAACAGGATCTCAGGACCTTGTATCCTGCCACAGGATCTCTCATTCAATCGACCGCAGAGCTTAACGCCAGCGTCAAGCCCAAACTCTATTCCGATCTCCAGCAGCAACGACGAACCCTGTTTAACGCCACAGCCAACGTGAAACAACTTCATTCATCCAGAAAATTATAGTGAACCAGTTAGAAATGTTAATGGTAACTGAAAACTGGCTATAGAAAGGACGATGTGGAAACAAATATTGCTAGACCCCAAATCGACCGAAGTGGGCCGATTTAAACTATCCGGACCCGAGAACAACTGCGGCGTCGTTACTAGAAGCAACTACATGTTCGAGGCTATCAGAGTGCATAGAATAGAATGAAAAAATAATATCTCTAATTCAGCCTAAGTGCAGTAGTTTTTAAGTATCTATACGGGCTGTTTTCCCGAGAGATTCTGTGTACCACTGGAAGTAAGGGACACTCTTTGACTTTCAGTTCAAAATACAGTTTTGTACTATATTTTATAATACCAAATAGGAAATAGAGAGAATCAACAATATAATAAAGCTGCTTCGGACCAAAAGTACATCCAATAACTCCGACAGTGCGGTACAGGTAGACGGGACGTGCTGTTGACCCACATTGGAAGTATATATATATATATATATTAGTTAACAGTAACGCACAAGATCAACCAAAAAAATACAGAAGATACAGAAACCCAATGGGAACCACCTTCTTATGTGAATAGAGATCGAGTGAAACGCACAAAAATTGACCAGAAAAGTTCAGAAGCTATCTATCAACGGTTATCTTTATTTTTTCGAGATCTTCATAACTACCTGAGTACGCACAATATTCTGAGAGAAATGGCTAGTCGATACAATGACCCATTTTGCTAAGAGAACCCAATTCATATAAGAATAGGACAACGTGAAATTTAAACGGTACAGGGTTAAAAAAGCAAAAATCCATACGACACGCCAAAAATAGTATTTCAAGTGATTTCTATATACATCTATACAACATACATCTATAAAATTATGGGTAAAAAGAAACAGAATAATCATGTTATTTTGCAAGTTCATAATAACAGTGGCAACTACGAGAATTTCTAATTCCTATAAAGAATGTATAATACATCGATATTGATATATACATACATATATATACATACATATATACACGCACATTCATTTTCAAATCCCTGTAGCGTTGGGATCATCTCGCGCGGTCGATCATTCATTCAGTTTGACCTCTGTAATATATTGCCATTATTATGTATAAGAAACAGAACGATTTCGTTAACGAATTTTGGCAGAGCAACGAACAACAGATGCAGCGAACAGCGGGATAAGTAACGAAATTATGAATCATAGTAAAGTCGTCTGAAGAGCTCGTTATTTCGATATATACGCAAGTTTGTTGAATGGACTAAAGTGACGAGGTCCTTAAAACATATAAGGCGCATGTAAGTTGTTTCTGATTTATTTCGCTGCTCTTATTGGTTAGAAAAACGGAAAGAAAGCGGAAAAAAGAGGATCGACCTCGCGAAACACATCAAGACGTCAACAACTTACAGATTAATGGTTCGAATCCGAGAATTAACTGAGAAAGAAAACGAAATCGTATAACATCACCAACGACAAGCAATGTTGCAAACAGGTACTTCGAAGCTATGTTTCTTTAATCACAAAAAAACCATCGAGTCCGTTTCAATCATCTCAGTCTTGTACTAATGATACTGTAATCTCCGTAATCATAGTAATAGTTAGTGATTTTCGTACGAAGATGTTTGAAATTACAAACGATATAACAATACCTGCATTAGAACGCACATGGCGACAACGAGAAGATGCTAGAGGGAGGTAATGTCTATAAGGAACGAAGAAGTAACTTCGACGAACGAGGACAAACAAAAGGGAAAAACATTCAGAAGTGGCCGCTGGCCAGTTTTTCTTGCGAGGACGTACAGGGTACTGTAAAATGTAGTCAGTACTAAGTGGTAGTAAAACTGTAGCAGCGAAATGGACTAAAGGCTTGGTGAAGAGTCGTTCCAGGTGGACTTAAGAGATAGGAAACAACGTGGGAAGCGTGTTACATCGTTCGAATTAATAAGACTATCAAAAAAGCGAATTATAATCCTAGAAATAACTGCAAGTAAGGATCATCTCTGAGATGCCAAGACAGGATCAAGAGTGAGAAAAGAAAGCACAGGACGGTGTGTCTGCAAATGGGCCTCATTGCATCGTACCATTGCGCTGAAACACCTTAACGAAGGCAGGGAGGAATATACCCAGTTTGTATAAAGACACCATCATATATCAGGAAGAGGTGTACGCACCAAACGGCTAGGACAGACAGTGTTAGTTTAGAGGGGAAGTAAGCCAGCAGCATGGTAAACGCGTCGTCGCAGTTTGATCTCCCATAAGATGCTATAAGCAATGGCTAAATCAATGACTGTTTCCAGCAGGTGCCTGAAGTCACAGAAATTCTGCATTCGTCAAAGGAAGATTCTGCCACGCTCGTGACTTTGTGGAAGATGAAAATAGCGCCAGCATTCGACTTCTCAGATCGAACATCCTGGACGGTCTTACAGGTGGGGCATTGTAAAGAGGACCAGCAAAAATCCTGGTGTGAAGTAAGAGTAGTATGTCTCGATAGTGTATTGCTACTTTAGGCAGTAATATAAAGCAAGCAAATTACAAATTTTACTTTTCTTTCGTAAGGTCCATTATTACATAAGTTCAAACACCCGAATATCCTCTTTAATAGCAAACTAATAAGTTGATTTCTCATCTGTGAGCAAAAATGTCCTACTGACTTCTGTGTTATCTACGACGTCTTTATTGAGTCCAGTATCGTTTTCACGCTGCGCCTCAGATCGGTTAACTATTTGGACATCACGAATTCGACTAATGAGGGATGGACAGAGACGCATATGATTTTAACACTATCGACATTAAATATTTCTTCTTATAGACACCAACTATGCAATATACATTCTGCCCTGTGCTATCATCGTCCCTCGGTAGTAATCTTGTTCGGACATAAGGTGATTCCGTATTGAGCCAAAGTTCTAAAGCTGCAATGCTGCGATAAAGGTTTGAGTAACGACAGACGCTGTGTATGTAGAATAGCGAACCTGAGAAAGGCAGGCATAATTACCCAATGCAAAGTGGCAATTCTGATCGAATTCTGTGCCGCTTTGACGGTATTGTCGTTGGTATAGTCCTCCGGAAGAATTAATCAATGACGCTGTATAGGCTCTCTGCATCGCGTAGACAGACATGGTCCATGACAAAGCAGAAGTATCTTGCTTCTGTCTAAGCCATCTACGCCTAAGCCGCTATCTACGCCTAAGTCTGAGCCGAAGGTCGTGCCAAACGCTTCCAGGAGGAGCTCAAATGTGATATGAATGTATTGGTGAGACACCCATCCGGGGTGCCCCTTTAGTGAATGTATTTTTGTGTGAAGTTTCATAGCCTCTCGTTTTTTGAGGGTGTTGTTGTCAGTGGGGACGGGACCAAGCGACTAGCGGCGGGCAGAACTTACTTGCTTTGAGGCTTAAACGATGGGTCACCGGGTTAGCACATTTCCAATGAGGTAATTATTATCATGAGCCCTTAGTTTTCTTGAGGTTTGCTTTATTTTTAATGCCGTTATAAGTTTGTCTATTTCGCAGAGGCATATAGTTCCATCTATATGTAATAGTTATATTCCTTCAAACTGAGCGTATAAACGAAAGAATAGTCGGCTTGATCGAAAAACTTTTGATCTGTTCTACGACGACCCGTACGTAGTGTCTCGTTAACTACCGTAGCAATGCATAACAATGACTTTCCCCCCCGATCACAGCGAACGAAACCTGCCGTCAAGTCCCGTCCCGGAAGGTGCACCATGTAGAGATTGTTGCTTTTTAACTAACGTATTTTGGACCACAAACTGATATGGTGTGATGAATCGCGTTACCTGAGAGGGAGAAAGGGTGGAGACATACAAACAAGCAGACGCCCCGAGTGGGTGAGTGAGTGAGTGAGAAAGACGGAAGAGAGAGAAGTATCTGAACCAATAAAAGGGAAGATCGGCAAGTCATCTAACGGTACCACAAGATGCTACAAGATACTGTGAAAAAAAATGCTACAAGAAGCGCGAAGAACCACGAAACCCACGTTGTATCTAAGCGAACGAAATAAATGATGCCCGATTTACAGAAAAGTAAATGAAAGTATGATCGAGTAGTAACTTGGAGAAAGGGTCGAGGATAAGCGGAATAGCTAGTGAATAGTATTAACAGGGGCGGAAAGAAGTACGAAATATTTTCGCAGAGAAAAAAAGGCGAGAAAAATGAGTACGTCAACAAAAACGGATCAAATTTAGCATTTTTTGACAGCGCCAAAAATGGCGTAACTTTGGAAAAGCGTGTGTTTAGTAAGATAATTATAGTAATAAATAAGCCCGTGAAAAAGGAAACCACGCACAAAAAATGTAAACGTATGCTAATTATTGTCATGTCGGCGATATACTGCAGTAATAAATGGGAAATAAACTATGCAGTAAGGAATGTTCTGTTACTTGCGGTAGAAATGATGAACACAGAGCACAGTTTTGTACCCGTATACATTATTATGATAATCATTATTATTTTGATTATTATAAAATGTGTGTGCTTGCATTGAGTTTTCACAAAATGACAACTTCGAAAATAGGTTATAGAAAAAAATTATCACAAATGATCTGAGTCTAAAAAAACATCTCTGGTGACCAGTGACGATAGACGATACTGATATCCGCCCGCGGAGGTCAAACAAGGGCCAGTCAGTACACGAGTTCAATCATCTACCACCATAGTAATTATAATTATGAATTAAATGATCAATTTTTCTAACTAAAACAGGTGAATAGTGAAATCGACGATAAAATGTTTTTTTCTGTCAAGTATTCGTACCCTATTTTTTTATCAAATTTGTTGACATTTTGTCGTTGCGTACCTGTACATATGGGATGCACACCAAAATAATTAGTAAATGAAGGTAGCAGGCTACATAAGAACGAAACGGAAATGATCAAATTATTCTGCTGTTACCATTATCTTTCGTCTATGTTCGTGCCTGCATATCTTTGTATAAATAGGTAATGAGAAGTGTTAAAGTAAATCAAAAGATACGCACCTTATTCGTTAGTGGCATTTTTCTTATCTACTTAGTTAGATACACATTCGTAGGAGAAATCAGCTTTCAAAAAAAACATTGAATTATACCAAAAAAAAATACCCTGCGAAACCAGTTATCGTAAGGACAACTGCCTAAAAGGTGACTCATCAAATTACAAGTTTTTAGTCTTCACATGCCAGATCTAAAAGACACGACGCTATTTTTAATAGAACAAGCATTATTGATAGGTAGTGCCTCGGCTACGCATAGACCGGGAAATGGCGAGCTCCCATAGAGACTTTCGTTCTGGTGGGCTAACAGTTTAGTTAGCTTCTTTTAATTATTCTAGAGCTAATATTAAATGGAGTTAACAATGGAAATATTGATTGTATCTGTTCGTATCTTCTTTTCAAAATCAAACTCACCAATTTAATTATTATACAAAAGCAAGGCCCAGTGCGACCGGCTGTTATTAAATATGATATATAAAATTCGGCCTTCTTAGCAGGAATGAGCGGCCTGCCTTCGTTCGTTCGTTCGTGGTAGTCATAACGATAAAAAAAGTTTTAATATACTGGACATTCATCGCAGCGCTGGAAGCCGCCGCTCAGCGTCGAGCACGAAACTCACACAATCAAAAGCGGATAACAGAGC